CCATCATGCCATGATCTGGAAGAAAATCAGTGTCATCGGGCTTTCTAGCATTTGGGTGGTTTTACTTTATGGCCGTAAGAGACAAGATTCTGAAAGTTGGACTTGCCAGCCTCAGTCTTGGAATAAGTTGCTGGCATAGCTGCTAACGCTGTTATTCTGTCTATATGGGTACAATAATTGCTGACCATAACTAGCTTCTGTAACAGGCTCCTGCTTAGCATATCTTTTATTCTGAAGTCTGGTCCACAGAAAAGTTGAGGATTTAAGCCTCCCTTTTCTCCGCCTGCTTGTCCATTCCTTATTAATTAACTCTTCTGTCTGCAGGATTTCCCAGCATGCTGGCCTAGCCTCTCCTTTAAGCCAGAGAGACAAAACCAGCTGCTGCCCCAAGGTGGTCTCTGTTACAATCTGTGCTGCTTTCTAGCAGTTATTTAGTGCCTCTCTCTGTTTCCCCCCCCCCTAGCCTTTTTCTCCTTTGTCTCTTTTTCTAAGGGGGAAGCCATAGAGTCCCTTCCCCTGTATGAAGATCTACTGATCCGCTGTTGGTCCATCTTGGGATTCACAATGGGGGCAGGGAGAAGAGAGGAGCTAATCAATTCAGAAAATCATTTGGGTGGCAACTTCACATGTGACAGGCTATTTTCTTCTGTTCCACTTAGATATCCAACTGGCTGCGCAAAACTCTGGGGATCAAGGGCTGCTCCTGTGTAACCACAACTGGATCTTTCATCAGCTGGGCTTAGGGAATAGCCACTAACTGGAGGGAGGAAAAGCTTTCAGAAGGGATTGGCTCCTGCTATTCCCTCTTTCACATCTGATTAACACCTGCCTAGCACTAGGGAACGCTTTCTCAGAGATTCTCCTGTTGAGATGTATTGAGAATATGTGAGCCTTGCAGGGCAAACCAGATAGAAAACACAACCAGATGAACTAATTCTACTTTATTATCAACTATACTTTTACATCTTGCAAGTGTGAAGATACAAATCTCGCTGTGTCATTTACACTCTGAGAAGTCCTCTCTGAACCTTTCTCTGCCCACCAGCTAGTTGTTGGTTATACTCTCTTATCTGACTATTCCTTAGGTAGCATTTCTTCATTCCACCTCTCCAGCTTTGGTCACCATGATATAAAAAAGAAATTGAGACTTTAGAAAAGGTGCAGAGAAGAGCTGCAAAGATGATTAGGCTGGAGGCTAAAACATATGAAGAATGGTAGCAGGAATGTGCGGGTCTGGTCTAGTGAAAAAAAGAACTTGGGGTGATGTGATAGCAGTGTTTCAATATTTGAGGGGCAGCCAAAGAAGAGGAGGTCACCTTGTTTTCCAAAGCACCTGAAGGCAGGACAAGAAGCAAGGATGGAAACTTATCAAGAAGAGATTCAATGTAGAACTAAGGAGAAATTTCCTGACAATGAGAACAATTAACCAGTGGCACAACTTGCCGTCAGATGTTGTAGATGCTCCATCATTGGAGATTTTTAAGAAGAGATTAGACACCCTTTTGTCTGACATGGTATAGGATCTCCTGCTTGAGCATACCATAGAAGACCTCCAAGTTTCCTTCCAACTCTGTTATTCTGTTATTCAAGAGCTTTCTCACATATCATTACATGTCCCACCTACTATTCAGCTGCAAGCTACACTGTCTCTGATCTGACTATTTCATTGACCAGTTTCTTTGGCCTGTCACTTAAGGTCCTTCCCATATGCCATTACTGGATGACTCTACTGGCAAGTCTTGCCATGGGTCCTTAAAATACATTGAGGGGCCATTGCACCTGGCTATCTCTTGGCTGAGCAGGAATGTTGACATCAATTTTCTCTGGTCTAAAGAACAACCCTCAGTCTTCCTCTTGTGGCCTTTGGATCCAACCCACAGGAAAATCTGCCCCCAGATTTAGAAATGGTATCTTTTTGATAAGCATAGTTCCTAGATGAGGGGCTTTGTGAATGAATTCTAGATGGCAATTCTAGGCATAAAAGCAGCCCACATTAATGTGAATCTAGAAATTTTTCCCCTCACCTTAAATTCTACATGAAGGATGAATTTTAGGGCTCTTCTCTTACACCTTCACCTACCCCCACCTCTGCCCATCACCATAATCCCTGCAGGCCAATTTGCCTGAATGGTAGGGCACATGATTTGAAGGATGGGAGAAGATGACAGGTTAGAAAGGATTTTTTTTTTCTTACAAATTCCCCCAGGGCTGCAAAGAAATGCCCATTCAGCCTCTTTTGAGGTGACTTCTCAGTGTGGACTAGCATGCAAAATATTCTCAGAGAATTATCTGGTATCTTCTTGTATCTGTTATAAACAAAGGGAAGACTAAAAAATGCTGGATTTCTCTCTTTTTTCATAGGTAAAGGATCAAAGAGAGTAAAGACTAATTCTGAGCCCACTTATTTGAGAATAAGCTTCACAAAAGTCCAACATAACAGCTATTATTTATCGATGATGGGCCAAATAAGAATAAATAAAATAAATCAGCAGGAAGGAATTTTGACCAAGCCCAACAGGAAAAACAGCATGGCTGCATGATCTGTAATGCAACAAATTTTTGATGTTAAACTCTGGATGACCACTAAATGGCAGAACACATATAAAAAAGACTTCCTAAGCCTTTGCCACCATCTGGTGATTGTTCCCAGTTTGCAGTCCAGTTTTAATAAATCCTAGTTAGTAACAACACAGGTGGCTTTGTTTCTTCTTAGAAGTGGATCAATCATTTCATCCTGTGAAACTAAGTCATCTTGTCTTTATTTGGGTTTGGCATCCATGAACAACAATTCGCAATCAGAAGACATGATGAAAACTTCTTAATTTCACAACACATGCACAGGTTCAATCATAATTTTAATTGGGAAACTGAGCATCTTAGATCAAGCCAAGTCCAAAAAAACACCAAAGAATTCCTGGAAGCCTGCCAGACAAATTGGCCAACAACAGGCACATAGAGATAAATAATATCTACATATTACTCAAAAGAGACACTCAAAAAGTCAAAAAGGAAACAAAAAGACTAAAACATCTTCCCACCAGCAGTCAACACCTCTATGAGCAGAGATTAATACTAAAATTAATACTAGACCAGCAATCAAGAAGTAAATAATGTTCCAATCAAGGAACTACCAATGTTCCAATCAAGGAACTACCAATGTTCCAATCAAGGAACTACCAACTAACAGCAAACAACAACCTAACCAAGGAATCACTAAGACCACTCCCATCAACCTGACAAGGCAAGCCACTAATACAGTGGTGGCGAACCTATGGCATGTGTGCCAGAGGTGACACTCAGAACCCTCTCTGTGGGCACGTGTGCCGTTGCCCCAGCCCCGCCTCCTGTGGCCCCTTCCTCACCAGCAGCCCCCCCAGAGGACAGTTGCCCCCAGGTGTGGCTGGTGTGGAGCAGCGCAGCCAAGGACATGGCAGTCGGGCAAGACTCTGCCCTCGTGCCCCGTCACGTGCAGATGATGCTGCGGGGCGTGGGTGGAGGGCATGGCTTCCATGGTGCTGCTGGGCCAGCTGGGCAACCTGCAGTGGGCCGTGGAGGCAGGGGGTGGCCCTAAGGGTGGGGGGCAAGGCAGGGGGTAGGGGGCAGGGTGGGGTTGGGCAGTTTGGGGGCACTCGGTCTCTAAAAGGTTCGCCATCACTGCACTAGTATATAAAATAAGAACAAACCCTGTTCCCTTCTAGCACTGATGATGTTACCTTCTTTGGTAATGAAACATCTGCAAGAAAACCACCAGGCTCAGAGAACACCAAAGAACCCTTACTTACTTCAGTTTACTTTGGTTTGGAAGTGACTTTGAAAATTTAATTCCTATTAAAGCAACTAAAAGCAATTGAATGTTTCACTGCTTGCAGCCCATGGGAACAAGCCGTCCTGTCACATTTGGAGAGGCTGGTGCATCACATTAATTGCTCCCTTTGGAGACAAGAAGCCTATATCCATGCAAGGTCATCATTTGGCTGACTGACAGGGAAGTGTCAAGTTTATATGGGCTAATCCTTTTTAGCCTTTTGCAGATGAGACGAAGTATGTGTCATTTCAAAGATGTTACCAAGTGCAAAAGCCATTTGCTTCCATGAAACTCCTATTCAGAATTACTTGAAAGATCTGCCAGACTCATAAAAATGCACTCTAAAAACGGGCCACGGGAATAGAGGGCAGGCCTGTGCTGTGTTTTTCCACAGATTTAGCTTTATTTTGTCAATCTTTCTTGGGAATTGTAAGGCACAACTACATACAGATAGTCCTTGACTTACAACCACAACTGAGCCCAAAGTTTCTGTTGAGAAATTTGTTTTGCTCCATTTTACAACCTTGCTTGCCACAGTTGTTAAGTGAATCACTGCAGCTGTTAAGTGAATCTGGCTTCCCCATTGACTTTGCTTGTCAGAAGGTCACATGATCCTGGGACACTAACCATCATAACTATGAATCAGTCGCCAAACATCCAAATTTTGATCATGTGACCCTGGGCATACTGCAACTGCCATAAGTGTGAAAAATGGGCATAAGTCACTTCAGTGCCATTGTAACTTTGAACAGTCACTAAATGAACTGTTGTAAATCGAGGACTACCTGTATTCTCAGTTCCACCCCAAATTATAATTTCTGTCATCCCATCCATATAGAACAGTGGTTCTCAACCTTTTTAATGCCGCGACCCCCAACCGGTCGTAAGTCGAGGACTACTCAACTGGTGCAGCACCGTTTACAGAATGGGACTTTTGGCGGGCTCAGCAGGGCAGAGACAGCCTGGACAATTCCTATTGGCTTTTGAAAACCAATAGAATTAGACTCTATTCAAGAGAGTCTATTCTGTTGGCTTTCAAAAGTCAAATAGAATAAAAAGGAGTAGCACAGCGAAGGAAAAGGGGGGAAAAATGGCGGACTGCGTTGTTTGGCAACCCCCGTGAAATGGTCGTTCAACCCCAAATGGGGTCCCGACCCACAGGTTGAGAACCACTGATATAGAAACTAGTAAATGTTTGTAGTTTAAAATGCTATTATACCCAGAGAACATAGATTTTTAGGTTGAGCTTATTCTCATTCTATTCTATTAGCTTCTCTCAGAAATTTTTATGAACAGAAGTCTAATTATTTGCTATAGGATTCCTGGGATTAAGGAGACTTAATCTGCTGATCAGACTGCCAGAAGTGGCAGTTTGTCCAGCTACTATACATTCAGAAATCTTTCTAGTAGCCTTATGTTCTCTGCCACTAAATGCTCATTTGATGACACAATAGTGCAACCTCTGAGAACACAGAATGTTATTATTTCTCATCCTTTAAAAACAGCAAACGGGAAGCTGTTCATATTAAATTAAATGTATTTTACCCAAATAAATCAGGATAGAATGAGTATTGATGCTTTTGAACTTTGGTGTTGGAGAAGACCCCTGAGAATTCTGTGGACTGACAAGAAAACAAACAAATGGATCATTGAATAAATCCGCTCTTGGCACAAATGACCAGGCTATTCTACTTTGGGTACATTCTGTAAAGACCAAGTTCTCTGGAGAAAGTTCTAATGCTGGGAAATTGTGGACAGAAAAGAGAAGAAGGAGATGACCATCAGCAAGGAGGATCAACTGAGTTACAGTGACAATGATTGCATCATTGGAAGATCTGAAGGACCAGGCTAGGAAGTGATGCTCATGGAGAAAATCTTTATCTATATGATTGCTAACAGTCAAATACCAATTGATGGGATATAATCAGTAAAATAAATATGATGGAAAGGAATTTCCACTGATCACATGTGCACAAATCTGGAAGCATAAATATACAGGCGAGGAGCATGTCGTTTATTTAAAACATTTATATAGCTACACATCACAAACTAGGTAACTCCTAGATAAAAAATATTAAAAGTATTAAAACTAAACACATAAAAACAAAAACCTGGCACCAAAGCAAGCTTTATGATATTATTTTTGTGATTATATCATGACTGTGATGCAATTGTGCTTTTGTCTCTGTAGGGTCTCTGGGGAACATTATATTAAAAGGAAAGACTATCTGGTGCTTTAATTCTTTTATAGTTGCCTTGAATAAAGTAACTTCACTTAAAACCACTTCCTCTTTTTATAGACGTTTGTGAAGTATCCATAGATGCTGGCGAAGGATCCAATTGATTTATTTTTAAAAAATGTCATAGATTTAGTTTGTTTTTAAAACACAAGAAATTATTTGAAAACGTAAATTTTTAGTAATTATTTTTCCCTATAATTTAATTTGGGAACCTTTCTATGGACAGCCAATTTTTGTCTGGTTGATGTATTTTTCATGGCTACCACATTATCCAGCACAATGTATTTTTGTAACTTTAGGACTAATTCAAAAGCCACTGAGCCTAGTTCACACATGGACTTGTTTGTTACAAATATTATATCTATCTCCAATATACTCTGATGTTCATCTCCATAACAACCTTGTGATGTAGAGTGGGAGTTCCAGTGACCAGGAAGAGAATTGTAAACCTGGTTCCCTGCAATAACAGGGAGGCATTTATCTAACATCTTGGCTTTGAAGCTAGAAGCATGCATGTTGCATCATTTTATCTTTGCTACATTTAACTCTTTAATTGTGGTTTCAAGGCTTATCAATCATATTTAGTGAGATGCTGTAATTTACATACATTCCATATATAGGATTTTAATTAATGTTACGATGGCTCTTTCAGATAAAAATTATACAGCAAGCCTGGAATTCCAATTCAATAGCTAGTGAGAATTTAAATGTTTCTCCTGTTTAATCCATCTTTGGTTCTGAACTTTTGAATGGAGGTCAAAGTCATGAAATCCCACCAGGTTTAAAGAGATTTATTGCCTGAGTTTGCAAACCAGGCTGGGCTAATACAGAGTTGGCTAGTTTGAAGCTGAATAACTTATGTTCATGTAGCCCCTGTGATCAGTGTCTTGTGTGAACACTCATGCTGAATTTTAGTAAATTACACTTGGTTAATAACAGGTGAACTCTGCCAATAGTGTCAAGGAAATTAGAAAGACCCAGCATTGCCACCTTCAACAGAAACAAATTGCTTACTGCTGGGCCAGAGTCTCACAGCAGTTATTGCAGTTAGAAATAAGGAAATTGCAGCAAGAGAAAAAAGACGGGGCGGGTGCACATTTGGAGCAATGCAGTTGATCCATAGAGGAGGCGGGGTTGCAAGTGGGAGCAGGTGGAAGTTGTTTACAATATCTGCTCTGCTGTTGAGGGTGGCCCAACAGACTGAAAAAAAAAGCAGTTTGGCTACAGGAGGAAGGAGATCCCGAAGCTTTCTCTGGCAGTGTAATACTTTTCAGGTTCGTAACCATAGTACAGCCAGGCAGCCAGAGAACGCACCGTTCACTTGGGGAATAATCCTCAAAAAGCTCAGGGTGTGTTTGTGCATGTGACCCTTTCTCTTTGAAAGGACTGTGGTGAGGCTTACCAAGTATCTGGGCTGTCTTTTGCAAGACCCAGCACATAAATATATACTGGGGGGTGCTCTATTTGGGCAACAAGCTTTACCACTTAATATTCACACAAACTTTGTTACTTGTAATCCTGATTAGATTGTGTTGTGTTTTTTTGGGGGGGAGGGGGTTAAGATGTTATGAGGAGCCAGCTGTACAGTCTGTTTATAATTTGGGGGATTGTGAGAGACTAAGATCAATACTCAGTGATGGAAAAGTTAATTTATAATGTTGCACGATGAACACGTGTGCCCATACTGTACATGTGATCAAAGAAAATGCCCAGGCGTGCCCCAGCAGAAGCTTTGATAGTTGTTTGCAGGAGGAACATTAGTCCCTGCTTGTGCAAATGGGCAAATTGCACCATTTTATGGATAGGCATGATCTTCAAGATTGAGAGTCTCTAGAGCAGGGGTCTTCAAACTTGGCCCTTTTTTGACTTGTGGACTTTAACTCCCAGAATTCCTCAGCCACATCCTGGTTTAGATTGGCCAGAGTTCTGTGGTTTGGCAGAATGGTGCCACCTCTATCTTTCCAAGCTAGTCAGTTGTTCTCTCTCACCAGCTGATGTTGCAATGAGTACAGGTAAATCCTTTTTCAGCAATTACTCATTCAGCGACCATTTAAACTTACAACAGCGCTGGACTGCGCAGCTTCCTTGTTGTGGCCATCGCAGTGTTTCTGCAGTCATATGATTGTGATTAAAGAGTTTGGCCACTGGCTCCCAATTATGACAGTCACAACATCCCATGGCTTCTGACAAGCAGTTAGTGGGAGACCCAGCAGAAGACTGCAAATGGCAATTAAGTGACCAGGGAAGGGATGATAACAACTGCAGCTGGAACTGTTACAACTGCTATCACAAGTCAGTGCAGTCATGTGGTGTTGCACTTTACGACCATCTACTATAACTGATCTGTTTGATACTAGAATAGTACTACTAAAACATGTAATTTGCTCAGTTGGCTTAAGTTTAAGATCAAATTTTAAAACCAAGTGCTAGTGTTATCCTCGACTTTCCTGCATAATTTCAATGGAAGAGATTCATTCTTCTCCATATTCCTCATTAAGTGGGATAAGCCGAAGAATGTTTTGAAAAATCCAATGGAGTTGGGTTACTAATAAATTCAAATAAATAAAATAAAGATTCCCTAAGACAGTCTTTAGCAATTGCAGCTCTACAGATGAATTAGAATTCCACCTCCTGGAGTGACCAGCCAAAGGACACACAGTAAATTCTCATTCATGGTAGGTAATACGTTCCATAAAGTTGCTGTAAATACTAAATTAGCAGATACTGAACCCTTGCCCCTAGAGAGAATTTGGGGTTAGGTTCCTGTGTGGTCATAGCATTTTTGTTAATCAATTCACAACTTTGTTTTCTCTGTGGAGTCTAGTCAATGGTCTTTTTATGCAATGAAATTGCTATAATAAAAGTAGTTTCCTACCATCAACTAAATTTAAGTAGTTGAATAAGAAATGATTTTTTCAGTATGTATAAATAATAATTGTTTAGAATGTCCCTAACTTCCAGAATTTAAATATCACTCAACTCAAGAAAAAGTAGATTTTCTGCAGCAGACATTTTCTGGCATGTGTGTGCTATAACCTCACATAGCAAAGTCACTAAGGAAAACAATGACTCATGTCCCTGGAACACACACAGTGGGTACTACCTGTTTCCAAGCTACATGTGATGCAACTAGGTCTCCATTTGCAGCTGACCTCTTATCTGATTAATTGAGTTAGGCAATGAGCCCAGAAGTTGTAGACCAGGGATCTTCAAACTTGGCCCTTTTATGACTTGTAGACTTCAACTCCCAGAATTCCTCAGCCAGGCACACATTTAATGACTGCCTAAAGATTTTGGTTAGCCTTTGCTTTTTTATTGCTGATCTGCAGCCTAACTTGGTCCTAGGCTGAAAAATATTTTACTGTCCTGGTGAAAGGACTGCAGGAACTGCTAAAAAATAATCAAGGAAAATGATCTGGTGGGTGGAATTAGTTCCCACTTGAAGGCTTGTTTAAACTACAAAGTTAGATTATAATCATGTCTTCAGTCAGATCAAGAGAAACATGGTTTATTGTAGATTCTTACAAAGTCCCAAATTTATCAGGAAAATGGAAAGAATAATCATTCCATTAATACAGGATTCCAAACTGATGCTATCCAGGTATGTTGCAACCCCCATCATTCCCAGACAACACTGTGGGTGATTGGAGTTGTATTCCTACACATCTCAGAGGCACCTGGTTAGGAAACGTTACTCCAATGACGAGTTTCTCAACTTTGGGAACTGGAAGATGTGTGGACTTCAGCTCCAAAAATTCCTCAGCAAGATGTGTGGATTTTAACTCCCAGAATTCCCCAGTCAGAGGATTTCTGGGAGTTGAAGTCCACATATATTTCCAAGTTCCCAAGCTTGAGAAACCCTGCTTTATGTACAGGTAGTCCTTGACTTACAATAGTTCATTTAGTGACCATCCAAAGTCACAACAGCAATGGAAAAAAGTGACTTATGACCATTTTTACAGTCTTTACAGCATCCCCATGATCATGTGATCAAATTTCAGATGGTTGGCATACTCATGACTGTTGCTGTGTCCCAAGATCATGCGGTCGCCTTTTGCGACCTTCTGACAAGCAGAGTAAATGGGGAAGCCAGATTCACTTAGCAACTGTGGCAAGAAAGGTCATAAAATGGGGCAAAACTCACTTAACCAATGTCTTACTTAACAACAGAAAATTTGGGCTCAATTGTGGTCGTAAGTCGAGGACTACCTGTATATGCTCAGTTTATAGGTTAAGTGAGGTATGTTGGTGCTTAATTTGTATCCATATTCTTTAACTCCAAATGCTCATAAATTACTACTGTGAAGAGAAAAAGATTTCTGCTCCTGTTTCCCTTTCCTTTTATGTCCTACTGGTGGCCAGTGGTGGGCAGGTAGGATAAGTCACAAAATGCAAAGAACAGCAGAGAAGGGGGATTCCAAAGTGATTGTTGGCTTTGAGTGAAATGCAAAGTGGTTGAGTGGAGGGGGGCTGGAGGGGGAGGAAAGCTGTTCACTCTGCCTCCTCCAAGCCTGGCTGCTTTAGAGTAAACCCCTCATCTGAAAGAGGCCTTTGTGCCCAGCCCCCTGGCCCTCTTGTGTTGCATGCCAGCAGGTAGCCATTGTTAAGATCAACAGAGCAGGGTCAGAGTGGAAGGAGGCAAAAATGACTTCTGTTGTCATACAGAACAAGAATCTTCAGAGGTCTTGTCTATGGCAACTGTGCAGAAAGGATGGCTGGCTTTCCCAGGTTCAAAAGGGACTTCTGCTCATTGTTAGCTCCTTTTGGAGGAGTTAAGATGCCTGTATCAGCAGAGAAGGAGGAACGCAGAATAATAATAAAAAAAGGAAATAAACTTATCTAGTTCTATTTGCTATCCTTCCTGCCATGACTTTGATCTTATTTAAGGTGACCAACTTTTTTACAATGAAAAGGAGGACACAAATAAATTGAAGAAAAAAATATCGTAAAAACTGGCTCGGCCCATGGAAGGTCAACCGCCTGCCATGCCCCCGCCCGCAGCCACCCCGCCAGCACTGCTGCCCTGCCATGTAGAGTGGGCCCTGTGGCTCCCAAAGCACCAGCTGCACCAGCTCCAGCCCTGAGGGGCAGCCTGCCATCGACACACCCCACCTGCAGCCGCCCCATCAGCACCACCGCCCACCCTGCGCAGCCCCATGTAGAGAGGGCCCCGCGGCTCCCACAGCACGGTATCTTCGGAACTAACTAGGACAGCGGTTCTCAATCTGTGGGTCGCGACCCCACTTGGGGTCGAACAACCATTTCACGGGGGTCGCCAAACAACGCAGTCCGCCATTTTTTCCCCTTTTCCTTAGCTGTGCTACTCCCTCTTATTCTATTGGCTTTCGAAAGCCAATAGAATAGACTCTCTTGAACAGAGTCTAATTCTATTGGCTTTCAAAAACCAATAGGAATTGTCCAGGCTGTCTCTGCCCTGCTGAGCCCGCCAAAAGCCCCAATCTGCAAACGGTGCTGCAAGGCGAACATTCTGCAAAGCTTCCCTCCCTGCTGAGCAACTAAAAAGTAAGTAAAAGAGGGCCGGGGATGGGAGGTGGGAGGCTGGTGGGTGCAGGGAGGGTTGCTGGCGCGTGTGGGGCCCGGCGGGTGCCTTACCTGCCTTTTGCTGGGCCAGCTGGTGGCCCAGCCAGTGGTCGCCCTGTGCCGTCATTGCCGCAGCCGCCCAGGAGCACCTGGGCCTGCCTACCGCTGCCCCTTGCCACCTATGCCTCGGCCGGCGCAGGGGGCGGCACCACGCATGAGCAGCGCTCTGGGGCAGGGAAATACAGGTAGTCCTCGACTTACGACCGGGGTCGCAGCTATAAAAAGGTTGAGAACCACTGAACTAGGAGATGGTGTAGTTGGGTAGCAGGCAGGACTGCTAAGTTCCTGCCAATTCGCCTTCGCTTCTGACAACTTGCATGTGCAAAGTTTGCCAGTTGGGTGTTTTGGCACACTCAGCAGCAATTCCTATTGGCTTTCGAAAGCCAATAGGGGGAGTAGCACAGCTCATGCAAAAGTTGAAAAAAAAAACCATCAAAAAAAGGTGCCGGAACACCGTTCTGAGGGTTCTATGAGAAAAAAAAAGCCCTGTAGATTAGTCTTCAAATATCGAAAAGGAGGACATGTAGGAGGACACTTTTCAAGGGAGGACAGAGCTTACAAAAGGAGGACTGTCCTCCCTAAAGGAGGACGGTTGTCACCTTATCTTATTGAGTTTCATGACACCTGTCTGGTCTATGTCTTAAGACATAGGTTAAGACTTCTAGTTCCCTCTGTTTGATACTCATAATTTCTGCATAATTATGACCTCATACAAGTTTAGGATCATGGTTAAATGCTGGGCAAGCCTAGCCTCTATATCTAAACTGCTGTAGCAATTGCTTTCATAGTTCTATCAGAAAATAAAATCCAGGATTCCTACAGCTAATAAAAATTAGTAGTTGTGTTATGCTTTAATTATATCTTATTTGGTGCTATGAGAGATTTTTCTGGTAGTTCAATCCCAAATTGTTGCATTGCTTTCATTATTTAATTTTAAGTTTCACAGTATAGCCCTCCAACTCGTGCTTTCTAAGAGGCTAGAGATATTGTCATCTATCTTAAATATGTTGTTTGAAGATGATTTCCAAAATTTATGATTCTGTACTGCAATACTGTCTTAAGATTCTGTTTAAAATACTTTATTTTCTCTAGGCCTTCTTTAAGAATGTGCTACCCATCTGCCTAGGTAGGCAGATCAGGAAATGCTGGGGATTACAGATTTATTCAACTAGTAATACTGGAGCAGTAGTACAGATTAGCTAAAAATCATCCTGCTTTGGGAAAGTTTATGTACTGAGAAAATATGTATTTGAGGGCTCATTCTAAAAAGCAAAACATAAGCCCTCTAACGGTGCTTTGATATATAACTATCTTAATTAAATAAACATGCAAATCTTTTGTGGCCTAGTTCGTTGATAAGCTGGTATCATGAACTGAAGATGTTTGAATAAATGTTCCATAAGTATTTGAACTAAAAAAAACCATTGGAAAGATATGCCTAAAAATAGCGGCTGTTTTTAGATTGATAAATGTTTGAAACTAATTATTTGGTTTCGGCTGATATTAAGTTAGGATAAAGCCCGTTGTGGTAAACCTAATCCAGCTCACTGAAGTTCTTCCTAGTAATCGCTGCTATTTTTTCTTCTAGCTTTCTAAACCATGATGTGATTTTACCCTTAGGATAAATGGGCAGTGGCTGCAACAGTGTTATAAGGCATCCAGATTTCTTCTCTCAAGGAAATACAGGTAGTCCTCAGTTTATGACCCCAACTGAGCCCCACATTTTTGTTGCTAAGCAAGACAGTTGTTAAGTGAACTTTCCCCCATTTTACGTCCTTTCTTGCCACAACTGTTAAATGAATCACCATAGTTGTTAAGTTAGTAACAGGGTTGTTAAGTGAATCTGGCTCCCCCATTGACTTTGCTTATCCGAAGTTCACAAAAGGTGATCCCATGACCCCGAGACACTGCGACTGTCATAAATATGAGTCAGTTGCCAAGCATCTGAATTTTGATCCCATAACCACGAAGATGCTGCAATGGTCGTAAGTGTGAAAATGGTCATAAGTCACCTTTTCCAGTGCCATTGTAACTTTGAATGGTCACTAAATGAACTGTTATAAGTTGGGGACTACCTGTATTTCTTTTCTGGAATTGCATTTCAGAACAGAGAATCATAGGTCTGGAAGGGATGTTGGATCTTGGAAATCTTCTATTACAACCTCCTGACCTTATATACCATCCTGGTCAAATGGTTGTCCAGCCTATTCTTGAAAGCTTCTACTGATTGAGCACCCACAGTTCCAGGAGGCAGGCTGTTCTGCTGATTAATTGTTCTCACTGTTAAAAAAAAGTCTCCTTCTAGGTTGGCTTCCATCCATTACTTTTTGTCCTGCCCTCTGGTGCTTTGGAGAATAAGTCAGCCCTACTCTTCTCTGTGACAGCCCGCCAACTACTAGATAGAAGACAGTTATTGTGTCCACCCTAATCCTTCTCTTTAATAGGCTGGCTAGACATACCTAGCTGCCTCAACCATTCATTATACAATTTAGCCTCCAGACCCTTTATCATCTTTGTTGCTCTTCTCTGCACACTTTCCAGGGTCTCAGCATCTTTTTTGTATCATGGTGACCGAATGTATGCAGTATTCCAAACGTATACCACTCACTAGTGTAGTATAAAGTGGCATTATCACTTCTTGTTGTCTTGATACTATCCGTCTGTTGATGCAGGCTAGGAATGCATTGGCTTTTCTGGCAGCTGCAGCACATTGCTGGCTCATACTTAAATGGTGATCCAATAAGACACCTAGCTCTCTCTCACAGTTAGTGCTGTTGAGTCAGGTACTACCGATTCTGAACAGTACATTTGCTTACCTTACTTTCCTCACCATTGAACTGCATCTTATAATAATAATAATAATGACAAGCACCTGCAACATAACACCCCAGACTTAACAATTGTCGATAAGAAAGACAAAAAAGTCTGGATAGTGGACATGGCAGTGCCTGGAGACAGCAGAATAGATGAGAAAGAACTGGAGAAGATAACAAAATACAAAGACCTACAACTAGAAATAGAAAGACTGTGGCAAAAGCAAGCAAGGGTAGTACCAATAGTAATAGGCTCTTTGGGTGCAATCCCAGAACAACTGGAGCACCACTTGAACACTATTGGCATTGACAAATTCGCTATTAGTCAATTGCAAAAGGCAGCCTTACTAGGAACTGCTTCCATCCTGCGACGATACCTGTAATACCATCAAACATCCAATCTGCCTATCCCAGGTCCTGGGTAAGGACTCGATAGGTAGACAAAATGCCAAATCCAGTCTGAACATCTGGCTGACTGTGCGATGATCCATAATAATAATGATGATGATGATGATGAAAAAGGTTGGAAGGGACCTTGGAGGTCATCGAGTCCAACCCCCTGCTCAGGTAGGAACCCTACATCATTTCAGACAAATGGCTGTCCAGTCTCTTCTTAAAAACTTGCAGTGTTGGAGCATTCACCACTTCTGGAGGCAGGTTGTTCCACTGGTTAATTGTTCTGTCAGGAACTTTCTCCTTAGTTCTAAGTTGCTTCTCTCCTTGATCAGTTTCCATCCGTTGCTTCTCGTCCTGCCTTCAGGCATCTTGGAGAATAGCTTGACTCCCACTTCTTTGTGGTAGCCCCTGAGATAGGGCCTAATGCTCAAGTCTTATCAAGATCCTTTTGAATCTTGAGTCTGTCTTCCAAACTGTTTGCGGTTCCCCCCAGCTTGCTATCATCTGCAAATTTGTTTTGTTCCCCTTAAAACTATCTTTTTTCTTCTGCTAGCTTTCTTGTGTCTGAGATGATTGAACAATAATTGTGTAGGTATCACAACTTCCTGTTGTCTGATGCCGATTATAGTTCTGTTAATGTAAGAAATGTAATTGTCTTTTTCCCCCATTAAGGGCTTATATTAGCCTTTCCTACTTTCGTAAATATAATAAATCAGTAACATGCATCTGAATAAGCAGTCTATTCACAACCTTATTTTTACTTCTGTGTCCTTTAAAAAACAGAACCGTTAGATGTCCATTGCATCAAGAGTCCTTGTGCTGGATTGGGTCCAAGGTGCCTAAAGCACTGGTAACATAGCTGAGAGGCAGAGAGGTGGTGATCTGCAAAAGCCTTTGTGATCCATGCATGTATACTTGTAAATAAGTCATAGTGAATAATACTAATTTTTGCTTAAGTGAGCATGAAAATCATGGCTTCCTCCTTTATTTAAAGAGTGACGAGGAATTCTATGGTCCGGCTGAAACAATAAAGGCATCGCAACTGGTAGTATATCTACTTTGTTCTGTGTTGGAGGATTAGTTTCAACACACAGCCAGACTACCTATATGTTCCTGAGAAGCTGTGGCTTTTGGCTTGTGAAAGAGCTTTTACCAAACACAAGGAAGGAAAAATCATCAGTAAGTAAATTTTGGGGGTGTCTCCAAGTGAGCTTTTAAGGACCCTTCATTAGAAAGAGGCAAGCTATTAATGTGGGCTGAAAAATCTCTTGGAGAAATTCTTGAACCCTTAAATTAATATTTAAATCTCTAAAACGTAAGTCCTTCAGATTCAAGCAGAGAACATGTTTTTGAAAACAGATCTCTCGGACTTTTCCGGTTGTTTCCTATACTTAAGATCATTTAGATTTTTTTTTTTGAAAAATTGTTTGCATTTGTGTCCGTGTTTTCTAGGTGTGCCCCTGTAGCAATGAAAGTGGTTGTTCAGAGTTTTGGAGGTTGGGTGATCCTCATTTTCAGTTGGGTTTCCCTATGTGTAAGCGTCCCATTGTCCAAACGGGAGATGATACTTCAGAAGGAGAATGCCCGGCGTACAGGTGGCAACCTTATGCTAGCACAACAGGAAAAATATTTCAACTGCAAGCTTATGCACCTCAAAAAAACAGAAGTAATGAGAGCTATGCAAACCGGGATATTTCCACCTGCTATGCATTTCTTCAAGGCTAAAAGTTTCATTGAACAAAGCGCTGTGTTCAACATCTTAAAAGAAATGCCCAAAGGTAAATAATTCCTGATTTCCTCAGCACCTCCGTGAGTTTCGTGCTAAATAAGTAATTTGGTTGGACTAAAATAAGCTCTACAAAGTAAAAGAATAATGACTATTATAGATAATCTGCTTCTTTCCAACTATAGAGCTTTTGCTTTAAAAAAAAGAGTCTATCAGAATTAGTTATAGAAGGGTTTTTTTTACAACTTTAGGTAAAATTATTTTCTCAGGTTGTTTGAGTGTTCCAGTTAAGGTACAAACCACAGGCTCAAATGCTGAATGTTTTCTTTCGATATTTACATGTTTGTTTTATATAAAACAAAAAATAGAGAACTAATCTACTTATTTGTGCCTAATTACATTCATAAATGATAATGGCATAGTGATAAGTGACAATATTTGGCAGTGACAGATTTCCTTTTTTCCCTGTGTTTGTTTAACTGCCCACCATTTACAGCAATAAAGACAATATATTCAGTGCATGGCATACATGGACTAGCAATAAAGACAATATTACAACATCTTTTCATGGGCTTGTAGCTGATCCCTTTTACTGAGTTCCTTCTTTTGCTTTCAGCCTTTATCAATTCATAGGAATTAAAATTACTTGTTGATGGCTGACTGTAGCTGATCTGTATCTTTGAAAGGCTTGTGAAGCATTCAGCCTTCTCTACTCTACTTCTCTACTCCTGTAGTCCTCGACTTACAACCATTTGTTTAGTTCAAAGTTACAATGGCATTGAAAAAAGTGACATATGACTGTTTTTCACACTTAGGACTGTTGCAGCATCCCCACAGTCACGTGATCAAAATTTGGGCACTAGGCAATGAAAATTTTGGGCTTAATTGTAGTCATAAGTCAAGGACTACCTTATAGTCGCTTCCAAGGCTGGTCTTTGGTTCACCTTCTCCACACACACAATTGACTGCCCTGGCTCTCTCTTCTCTCTTCCATTGATACCTACACTCTGCCTTCAGCATTTCTCTTGTATCTCCCTGTAATACAGGTATGGGTCTTTGCTGTCTTAAAATCCCAGGGAACAGTCCATAAGGATGGAACACAATGAATAACGAAGTTCAGTTCAGGTCAACAGCTTTGAGCCTGTCTTTTCACTCCATGGCTTGGCCTTTCCATACAGCAGGATTTTATAAAATTGGTTATCAGATAACATATACCTAAGGTCCACAAACATTTCAAAGAAATATTAATTCCAAATGATAACCCAATTAAAGAAAGATACTGGATCATTTTAGCATCTAAACTGGACCAATCGCTGTTAAACCAGGCAATTTTCCCATTACTAGTTTAAGAACTACACTATATATCAGGGATGGGCAACAATGACAACTATATGACTGTGGATTTTAACTCCCAGAATTCCTGAGCCAGCGGTATTAGGAATTTTGGGAGTTGAAGTCCACCAGTTGCAAAGTTGTCATAGTTGCCTACCCCCTGCTATATATTCTCTAGGTGTTTTACAGAACAAGTTATAATCCACACCTTTATTCATGGCAAGGTGGCTTGGGAATTCTGCAAGTCAAAGTCCATATGTCTTAAAGTTGTTAAGGTTGAGAAACACTGGAGTCCAGTAATACTATTTTGAAATGATGTTTGTACAAACTACAATGGGAACAATAGCCTCAGCAATACCTTTCTGCCCTGCTTTTCCTCATGCATGATAGTACTGATAATGACAGATTTTGCATAATAAGTATTTGAATTATATAATGACCACTGACCTCCATTTTTGTCATTTATTTTTGTTTAAAATGGCTACTTTTGTTAGTCGTAGAATCACTAAATGTAAGATTCTGAGATAACTTGGAGATCATATAGTCCCACTTCCAGTCCAGTGTACAGTGTAATAATCTACTACTATAGCATCTCAATAGATGGCTATCCAGCCCCTTTTACCAATTCCCAAAGCATTCAATTGTACATTTACCCTGAAAAAGTATCCAGGCTTGGGTGACCAGAACTTGTGATAATTCGTGGTATTTTAAAAAAAGTGGTTTTCTTGCATTCTTGTCTCAAGTTTGAGACATGATTACCTTCAGATACATTTTATCTAAGCCTTGAATGAAAGCTGTCTTCAAGAAACTTGTAGTGAGATCCCAACACAGTAAAGAAGCTAAGAAGGAAAATAAAGTCTTAGAGACAATACCATGAAAACTGTTCTTGTACCATCATTTGCTCCCTGCCTACTGTTAAACGTGCAAATATAGCTAATTTTAAATAAAACCTTTGTTTGCTAAAGAAGATATCTTCTGGACAATGGTGCAATCTAAGCATTGGAGCCTTTGCACAATATTATTGGCTAGGGTTTGTGTTCATCTTTTCAATCTAGACTTGTACAGGGCCAATGTATTTTTAAGCACCATTCCTCTTCCTAGCTTTCTACTGTTTGAGACAATTCAGCTAGTCACTTATAGACTTCCTCACCCACAGTGGTCAGATCACTATATTGCACTGGGGTATAGATAGTTTCTTTGTCTTGGCAAAGCAATTCAATCCAGTCTTGTTTTCCTTTGTCCACTTGCTTCTTCCTTGCTGACAGGTGGCCTTTTACATGTTCACGACTATGCTATCCTGAGTCCTGACTGGCTGGTATACAATGCAAGTTACCTGCCTAACTGTTACATCTGCTTCTGCCCAAAATGGACTGTTCAGTTCAAGTTTTCAAAGCTTCCTCCTAAAAAAGTGCCTCTTTGCTCCAAGTGGATTTTGCTAAAGACCTACCGCAAGAGTCTGAAGGATGTGGGTGGATTTGATAAGAGGTGAGTGGAAATATTTCTGATTGATCACAAGCAAATTTACACTATTATGTTGCTTCTTCCTTCCCCAAGTTGCCTCTTCCAGATGTGCTGGGACTGCAACTCCTTGAATGTATAGCTACCAGTAGTATGCATCAATTTGAAATACAGCAGATCGAGGAAGGCTGGTTTGGAGCACTATCTGCATAATTTTAAAGATGGAATACTTGTTTTGCGTGTTTATTCCATCAGAGCCTTTTATTTTAATCTAGAAGCCATCATAGTGCTTCAGTGGAGCAAACATTATATCAAAATTGTTTTAACCATAATACTTAACTTTTGTACAATGTGTTCCCTAATTACTCAGAGTGCCTTACCTTATCCTTACTATGACCCTACAATAAAAAATGTGGAGTTGGGTTGGCTGATAAGACCATATGTTAATCATCCATCTAAAACATTTTAGTGAATTAATGAGTGAAGACAGAGAATTCAATCAGCACTTCTTTGCAGATATGTACCTTGTACCTCAAGCATATATTTTGCATGCAGAAGATTACAGATTCAGATGTTGGTATCTCCAATATACTTATCTAAAACTCTGGGTAGCCATTGCCATTCAGGGTCAATATTACTGGACTAGATGAACTACTGTTCTGACTTATTATAGCAGCTTACATGTATCAGCTCTTTAATTCTTTCTTTTTTCAATATAAAGAGTATTGTTCATAAGAGAGCTTCATTCAGGGCATGGAAGTAGATCTGTTTCAAAACTCAACCAACATTCAGGCGATAACAATAGAGGTATCAAGGACAAGACTGCTGGGACAGATATGTTCGTTTAGTGCAGATACTAGAAAACCTAATAATGAAGAAGCAACCAAGCCCTCCATAACGTCTTATGGATTTTTTTGCTGTCTGTTTCTCAACCTTGGATGTGGAGGGCATCTGCACCATGTTTTGAAGATTGGCCTACCATCCCAGCTTCAGCTCTCACTCCAAGACCTACATGGTGATTGAATACTATGTACTCTGCACTACATAGAATCAATTAATACATATATATCCATCATGCAGTTCGGTTTTTTGGATAAGCAACTGAATCCAAAACACAGGGAAGAAATAATAAATAGTAAGCAAAGGGAATAAATGGTATGAAACAAGAAAAAGGAAAGGTAATGCACTTAAATCCAATTTATAAGAACATGAATTCCCCCTTTCCATAATTTCTCATCTTTATAACTCATCCCATCTTTGATTTCATGCTGTACCTTGAAACCTTGCTTTTTATTTTTCAAGCTCCTCTCCTTTTGCAGATCTCACCAACTCCATCCAGCCATGATTCTGTTTCTCCTTCCTCTTGACCCATATATTCTTCCTCCATGTATTTGTTTTGCAATTCAGTTCTCATTCATTCTTTCTACGTGGCCAAACCATATCAACAGTCCTTTCACGCTGATCACCCACTTTTGTGTTCAGCCTACATTTATTCTTTATCCATTCATTCTTGACTCTATTTCTTTTTGTTTTGTCCCACACACTTCTTAAGCCCCCCCCCCATTCCCGCTGCATTCAACTTTTATGTTTCTCCTGATATTTCCAGCTCTCACGCTCTTACACACAGCCAGTTTTGCTTCCTCTGACAAATAGGAATTCCTCACAACAAGTCCTATATCATTTACTCACTTTCTTCCAGCATTGGCGTGTCTTCAAATTTCTTCATCCATTTTCTTATCCATAGTAAACATTCTGTGAAGGAATTAAAAACCCATCATGTCTGTTTGGTTCATTTTATCTTTTCTGAAAAGAGGAGAACCAGAACAGCTTGATTCTGCAAGGACAAAATTTTGCTGAAATTAAAATGATAATGGCAACACAGGTAGTCCTCGACTTACGACCACAATTGAGCCCCAAATTTCTGTTGTTAAATGAAACAGTTGTTAAGTGAGTTTTGCTCCCATTTTACGACCTTTCTTGTCACAGTTGTTAAATGAATGCAGTGGTTAAGTTAGTAATATGGTTGTGAGGTGAATCTGGCTTCCCCCATTGACTTTGCTTGTCAGAAGGGCGCAAAAAATGATCACATGATCCCGGGATACTGCAACCGTCATAAATATGAGTCAGTTGCCTAGTGTCTGAATATTTATGAAGTGACCATGAGGACACTGCAATAGTTGTGTGAAAAATGGTCCTAAGTCACTTTTTTTCAGTGCTGTTGTAATGTCGAAGAGTCACTAAATGAACTGTTACAAGCTGAGGACTACTGGTACTATCATACTTAATACATATCAGTCCTAAAAATGCAATTCTGCATTATCTTAGTAGGATTTAGGCATAATAGGACTTATTTTGAGTAAATATTATCGTTGCCGAAAACTTGTGTTCATTTTCTAAAAAAAACCTGTAGTTTAAGATTTTCTCAATTTTTTTTTTAATTTTTTTGGCCAAATTTTTGTGATATCTCCCTGCTGAGCTGAAGGAGATCTGTCTTTTAAAACTGCCATTTGTGGGCATTCCTTGTGTCTTATACTTCAGATAACTTTGTAAAAAATGCCTCCCTGCCCTTCATTCATTCTTGGTTTCTAGGGTGATGTTTGCTATGTCACGACATAAGCAGTTGTCCGAATAGACCTGAAATGGCAGTTACTACCACATATAAACTAGCAGAAAATGCTGCCATTCTTGCTATGGTTCATTTCCTTTCTATTATGTTGCATTGTTTATGGAGTAGTTTCTTGCATTGCCCAATCTTTTGTCTGCTAATGTAACAAGAAAGACCCCCCATTGTCATGCACAAGAGGGCAGAGTTAACGTTGCTGTGGAAACCTTAACTTTGAATTCCTTGACTGGTGGAACTTTAAAAAAAAAAAAAAAAAGGAAAACACCCTGAGCAAATTAGGGCTATTGGGTGTTTTAGCTTCCTTTCCCACTCTTTTAATCTAGTCCTCCCATCCCACTTAATAAGGGAATGAAAAATTTCCTGCAATTGAAAGCATAAGGAGAACTTCTTGGGCAGGGAAACAGCAGCTGGACCTTTAAATGTGTGGCAAAGAGAATCCATTTTGTGCTGTCTCTTCCTATCTGTTTGATCAGACACATTGCTACCTTGGTTTAGAATAATTGGCAGTGCTATTTCTTGTAAGTTGTAGGAACACAATATTATTATGATTAATAATGACGGAGATGGTGGGGGAATTCAGTCTAGGTCTTGCTTGTGCCATTATGTATATTTTTCACTGATCAGGTTCTGATTAGGAAAAGCACCAAGCATGAACTACTTATAGGACCTGGTCACAGTTGTCATAGTGAAGGAATGTGGTCTGGGGTCCTGGGTAAAACCCTGGTTTATTATGAAAAGTTTGGATGGAACAACAGCATGAGCCAAACTTGATTTGCATACTTCACTGCATACAATGAGCATATTTGCATGTTATTCACTTGGGGAGGTGATAATAAGTCAAAAGACACTTGACTGACACTTCTTAGGATGAAATAAACTGGAATTACTCATTTCAAAGAAAATGCAAGAGTACTAATGAAAATTGAACACTAAAATTGATATCAAACATTTTAGAGGCCTTAGAACAAATATTTATGAGTGTAGAAATTGCTCAGAATTCAAATTCATTTTCGGTAATAGAATCCTATGTTTAGAAGGGATGTTAGAGGTCATCCAGTCCAGTTGACTACTCAGGTGGATGATCCACTCCAGCATTACTGACAGACCATCCAGCCTCTTACCTGAAGACTTGCAAATGAACTCACCACCTTATGAGGCAGCCCTTTGGGCTGACAACTAATATATTCAGGATTTCTTATTGTCTAAATTTGACAACAAGATTGCTAAATATCAAGATAGAAACTGAAATTAAACGTGATATATTTAATGGCACCACCAAGTTAGTTAAGACTTAGTGGGTCCATGTGCACATTGTTTGAAGCTTGTTTAGTGTTAAACCTTCCATATATTTTTGTGACATGATGTGTTTTTATGAATTTAGCCTATTTTTCTTGTTAATGGCTCATTATGTGAATCCAAAATGTAGCCTAACCCAATAGCCAGGTTTTGCTGAATGATTCTCAGGCAGCTTTCCTCTTATTCCTTCTGTTCAATTTCTTAAAAAGAAGGAAGTTCTCCTCCCAACCCCCAGAGCCAGCAGACATTAGTGCTATCTGAATATTTACACCCTGATGCTAATCTTCTTGCAAAAGGAGAAAGAACTAAGTGAAGGAGAAACAGCCCCTGGATTAAGTAGCTGGTGCCTTCTACATAATATCTTCTAAGGCTTCCCAGGGGAAGGGCAGAAATGGTTGATCTGGGATACCCATCAGAGGAGGACTTCCTGCTGACCTGATACCAGTAGGATCCTCAGCATTTCAGCTGCTGCAGCATGGCCCATGAATCTGGCCAATTGTTTCTTCTGAGGTTCTACTTTTAGTTGCACATTTCTCAGTTTTAGCAAATCTTGTGTGCTAAACTTCGCTCTGCACATGCTGTCTTCTCTCTTCTCTGTAATTGTAATAACAATATAATTGTTAGCAGTAAGTAACAAATCAGCATCCCAGTTTATTTGTTTGCAAAATGATCATCTTTTCTTGGGATTCTCATGTTCTTCTTTGGATCCAAGAAATGATTATGGCAAATGATTTCGGTGGAATGGATTCCTTCCCATGCTCAGTATGGGAGCCCTTAAGATCCCTGAAGACTGCTACCATATTTTACTGTGTCTTTTTCTCTCCATGTTAAGCATGGCCAATGTCTCCAATCTTTCTTTATAATCGTTTCTTACCAGGCCACTTGTCTTTATGGGTGTTCTCCTTTGGACAAAGTCCAGTGCCCAAAACCAGACACAATGTTCTATAGATACTGTACATCTAGTGTATGCAGAATGGAGTGGAACAGTGATTTCTCATGATCTTGACCCAATCCTCTATTTAATACTGACATGTTTTTGGCTCATATTCAAATTATGCTCCACCAAAACACCTTTCTCAAACATCATGTTGCCGAGCTTGACGCCCTACATCACATAATCATGCTTTCCTACCTAGATGGAGGCATTTTTCTGCCCATTATTCCAGCTTGTCAAGATCTTTCTGAATCTTGAGGTTATTGCCATCTATCTTATCCCACCTTGACAAATTTGATCCAATCTTGTTTATCTTTTCAAGATCATATTTTCTCTCCCCACATCAACGTCATTGATAACCGAACAGCATAGAGCCTAGATCAGGGGTCTTCAAGCTGGCTGAGGAATTCTGGGAGTTGAAATCCACAAGTCTTAAAGTTGCCAAGTTTGAAGACCCTTCGTCTAGATCAGGGGTAGGCAACCTTGCCTCTTTTATGACTTATGGACTTCAACTCCCAGAATTCCTGAGCCAGCCATGGGAGTTGAAGTACACGAGTCATAAAAGAGCCAAGATTGCTTACCCCTGGTCTAGATGGTGTTAATTTGACACAATGTATGCCACAGAGTGCTTAGAAAATCTAATTCTTGTACACAAAGCTACCTTCAAAATGTCTTAAGAGAGAATATTAAGGATTGTATGCCTTCCCAGTTTTTTTCTTTTAATTAATAAGAATCACAATAGCTGCAACACTACCAAATCTTGAAAAGATAAATTGGATTGGATCTGGTTAATGCTTGGATAAGAGATTACCAAGAAATATCAGACCTATAAACCACATTGGGAAATAAAAACAGTCACATCCCCTTTTTGCATTTTTGCACCTGTTTTGTGGTTAGTTCAGTTTTCGTTTAGCATATTGTGGTTGTTGGCCATGGTTTATGGGTTATAGCAAATCTACTTAGTGATTAATTCACTAAAAATAGTTAAGTAACCTGAAATAGTGGGATGAATAAATTTATTATTCTGACCAAATATGCTTAGGACAGAATCCTAGGATAACATCTGAAGTGCACATACAGTACTAAATGTTGATTGGAATTTATGGCAGGGAGGGAAAAGAGCAGTTAAGAAATATGAAGCATAAATTAAGAATAAAGAATACACACGCACGAAAGAGAACTAAAAATTATGTTGAGAAAATGGAATAATTGTGTATGCGTAAAATAAATATTGTTTTTTTTAAAAGTGATTGTGCAAGGGAATGATCTGTGGAGTTTAAAAGGTTACTTGATCTTGAGCTTCTGTCCAAGAACAAGAGATTTTGTGATGATTCCTCAAGTCAGAAGGCAAGCTTCTTATATGCACATTGTTAAATTGCCACTATGCCTTTCTTTCTCCCTCTCCAGTTTACTGAGGAACCTAACACTAATAACAGATAATCCGGAGAAGACCTACCCAACTCAAGCTTTCATTTGGGACAAATTTGAAAATATCTTTAAGACTGCTTCTGGCATTATTAATTATGCACCTGTGTTTAAATCCTATTTTTATCAAGGTCTGCTGGAGCTCTATAAAGACAATGTGCAGTATGTTGAGATCAGAGTTATGCTACCACCGGTAATACATTTCTCCTTCTTCTCCTTCTCCTTCTCTTTCCCCTCCCCTTCTCCTTCTTCTCCCCTCCCTCTTTCCCTCTCCTCTTCCTTATCCTCCATCTTCTCTTCCATCTCCCATTCCCTCTCCTCCTCTCTCCCTTCCCCTTCCCCCTCCTCATACTTCTTTGGTCTTCTTTGAAAAAGTACTGCTTGGGTGTCCCTTGATAGAATGGATAAAAATATACTTTTTAAAAACATCATAATCAAAATTCAAAAACTACCAGAATGGTAGTCCACTTCCCTTAAGGAGAGAGAGATCACCCTTCTTGAAGTAGGGGAAATCTCTCTATTTTTATATCATGTACAGTATATCCTATCCAGTGCTTGTATTTCCAGGTGGCAGTATATAACTGTTTTTTTCCTATACTGGGACTGATTGGACATATATAACCAGATCTTATTCTGTGGTTTGAATAAGAGTGGGCTACATACATCCAATGAGTCCAGATTTACCATGAAATTAGTCACATACTGCCTCCTGGTGATCTATGTTAGCAAGTGGTTACATATGGTATGTATAGTTTTCCTGTAAGAGCTTTTTTCACATGGTTTAAACTTTTGTATGTTCTTTTTTTGCCCACAGATATATGAGCTGGATGGAAGTCTTCATGATAAATTTTGGTCGGTGGCAGCTTTTGAAGAAGTGTCTAAGCAATTTGTAAATGATCATCCTGATTTTGTGGGCCTAAAACTTATATATACGACGTTCCGGTAAGGAATGTCTAGGTAGCTTTGTCAACTGGGGCAGGTCCATACATTTGAATTTAAGTAACTAATATTAACAAGTAAAGTGGAAGAACACAATTACATTGGCACTGAAAGGCCTGAAGAATCAGGCTGGGTTTAGATCCTTTTGGGGGGAAAAAACATCTGTATTGTTGACTCCAACTTATCAATCAATATTAACTAGCAAAAATAAAACCATCTTAATTTTTTAAAAATTAAACCACCTTTGGGTAATGACTAAAAATCGCATCGTTTTCTTTATAGCTATCTATCCAATACCTATCTAGAGATATGTTTCTTCCTGACCCTTACTAGGATTATGAATCCATAAATTCTGAATTACAGACCAGCACCCACATCATTGTAGCTAGTGGCAAGAGAAATGGGCAACACAAGATGTATCAGAGCTTCCTTAACTGTTTCTGGGTGAATTTTTAAAGCCTACCAGTCTCCTGCCTTCCTGTGCTCCAACTTCTTATTGCCATGGAATAGAAATTAGATCAATTGATACAAAAGAGCTAAGTTTGATGGACTTTGTGGGTTTGTTGGAGAGTGTTAAAGGGAAGGAGCTTGAAAGTACATAGGCATGGGACTAAGATAGAATTGAACCTCACCACCTCTGAAGTTGGGATGTAGCAAGTACTGAATCTTCAGAAGGATGAACCTAAAATATAATATAATGGAAGGGAGGAATAACTTGGCTTATTCTAAGCCAATCCAAATTGAGCTTGACATCATAATGAGCATGTTGAAGAATTTCAGGTGTGAAGTACGTGTTTGGTACTATAAAAAGAATCCCTTTTGGCATGTTTCCCCAATTTGATACCCTCAAAGTTATTCAGAGATTGTGAGATTTATAGTCTAACATATGGCAGGGGTACCAACATTGATTGGTAAGGCTGATGTGAGTTAAGTATTTTGTTCCAATTTTTTCATTAAAAAGGGAGCCTGATTAAGTACATAGTCGCATCTTAGCTCATAAGGGTGTTGTCTGGCTGAGGAATTCTGGAAGTTGAAGTCTACAAGTCTTAAAGTTGCCAAGTTTAGAGATCCCTAAATTACATCATTGTAATTCTGGGATGAATGCATTAATATGCAGGTATTGCCTGCAGATGGGATTATCCATGAGTATATACCTTATAAACATACTAAATAAATAGCCTTTCTCTCATGACTTCTTTCTCCCTGTTGTTGGTGAACTGGTTAGGTATATATTCTGCTTTTCAGGCATCATACAAGTTTAACCAAATATTTGTTCAGCACTTTTTAATCAAAGCAACAGTATCTACAACCTTTTTTTCCTTGATATTTTCTCCTGCTTTTGCCTTTCAGAAAGCAAAGTGTTTCCCAGATCAAAGAAGCTATTCACACAGCCATCAAACTCAGAACTAAATTCCCAAATACTGTGGCAGGGTTTGATTTGGTAATTCCTGATATTCCTCATGGGTTTTATGTTTTATTTTAGAAGGACTGCAAGGGGATGAAATAGTGGGGAGCTAAAGTATTTAAGTTGCAGTCCCATCACATGACTACCTTAGCCCTGCACTGAAGCCCAGACCAGATGCTCAACCAGGAAATTGTTAGATTATATTAACAGAATTTTGCAAGACTGAAAGTATTTCTCCCCTGCTTCCCTTTTACATATAGTCTTTGACTTACAACCACTTGTTTAGTGGCTGTTCAAAGTTGCAACAGCACTGACCATTTTTCACACTTAAACCATTGCAGCCTTTCCATGGTCACATGGTCAGAATCCAGGTACTTGGCAACTGGCATTATTTATGACAGTTGTACTATCCTGGGGTCATGTAATCACCATTCATGATCTTCCCAGCTGGCTTTCAACAAGCAAAGTCAAGGGAAGCCAGATTCACTTAACTGCAGAGATTTGCTTAACAACTGTGGCAAACAGGTCATAAAAAGGGGCAAAACTTATTTAATAATTGCCTTGCTTAGCACAAAAATATAGGGCTCAATTGTCGTAAGTTGAGGACTACCTGAAATTTGGGAGGGTCTCTAATTTCCAGTGCCATTCCCCTCTTCTGTGCACTGAGACATCTTGAACGTTCTGGTTATCTACTTTGCAGTTTTCCCTCCTGTCTGCCAAGGTCATTCCCACATACTATTTCATTTCATCATCTTATAAAGAAAACACCCAAACAGTTGAACCTTAGACTTATTTCTGAGACAGAATTTTATAGATAAGCTGGTAATCTTTGACTTATGACTGGCTGTTTAATGATCATTTGAAGTTACAATAGGCTCAAAAAAAAATTATTCACCATCTCAAAGTCATGACTGCTGTACCAGCTCCATAAGTCACGTGATACATTTTGGAAGATTGGCAACCAACTTGCAGCATTTTGTTGTCACGTGATCATGTTTTGTAACTTTTTTGGAGTTACAGTTACCATATTTTCCGTCGTATAAGACGACTTTCTAGGCATGCAAATCGGCTCCGAAGTCGGGGGTTGTCTTATACGCTGAGTCGTCTTATACACCGGAAATTACAGTGACTCATTTAATCACAGTAGCTGACTTAACAACCACCATAAAAATGGTCTTAAAATTGAGTCCAGTCATGTGATGACTCAGCTTACAATCACAATGACTTAGAACCAAAATTCTGGGCTCAATTGTAGTCATAATTCAAGGAGTATCTGTATTGTAAGCCTTGTGAACATTGCCTGTGTTGATCAAGTGAGAAACTGAACTATAGAATTTCCGTACTTATAGCTCTGTACCTCACTGCTGGAGTGGAGACCACTGCCTCACAATCCATTTCATTTGCATGCCCTTCCCAAGATAGTATTAAACGGGTCCTCAACCTTGGCAACTTTAAAACTTGTGGACTTCAACTCCCAGAATTCTTCAGCCAACTTTGCTGGCTGAGGAATTCTAGGAGTTGAAGTTCACAAGTCTTAAAGTTGCCAAGGTGGAGGACCCCTGGTATAAAACAAACCTACTTCACTTCTGCTTTGCCAGAGTGCTAATGCTTTCAGGTGCTCACTATTGCTGGCTGAATAATCTGAAACACAAGCTGGGAAGCAGGGGGTATGGCAGGCAGGCAGTTGGCCCCAGTGAAAGAACAGAAAGAAAAGATTGGGTTTTTGAATTTGCAGTAATCCAGTGGCTTCTTATGGGCCATTGCTGTTTGCAGCTGGTGCCATGCTACAGGTAATCCTTGACTTACAATAGTTCATTTAGTGACCGTTTGAAGTTACAACGGCACTGAAAAAAGTGACCTATGACCATTTTTCACACTTATGACTGTTGCAGCATCCCCTGGTGATGTGGTTTACATTCAGATGTTTGACAACTGGCTCATCTTTATGATGGTTGCAGTGTCCTGGGGTCATGTGATCATCTTTTGTGATCTTCTGACAAGCAAATCAATGGGGAAGCCAGATTCAATTAACATCCGTGATACTAATTTAACAAGTGCAGTGATTTACTTAAGAAATGTGACAAGAAAAGTTGTAGAATGGTGCAAAACTCATTTAACAAATTTCTTTCATAGCAATATAAATTCTGGGCTCAGAATAATAGAGTAGATTTGTTTGGTTTTTTAAAATGATAAATAGTTATTGATATATTAATAATACCTAAGTACTGAATGCTGATCCAGAGCAATGGTCTTTTTCAGGTTGGTTGGGAAGATGGTGGATACTCTCTCTGGGAACTGAAAGAAGCTTTAAGTTTGCCAGAAACCCAAGGAATTAAGTTGCCATATTTCTTTCATGCTGGTGAGACAAGTAAGCACAAATACATCACAGTGCTCCTTTGAAGTGCAATAAATCAGAAATTAATTCTGCAAACTTCTTTGTAATTACCTCTTGAGGTGGACCTTTTGAACACAGTAGTAGGTATTTCTACGTAAATATACATCTATATATGACAGTAGTTCTCAACCTGTGGTCTGCAGACCCCTGGGGGACCAAGATGTCATCACATGAAGGCTTGAAGAAATGTTATTATTTAAATCTTGAGTTACGTCCTGGTGGTCTATGACCATGGTCTGTGGCCAAAAATGATATTTAAAGGGGGTCCGTGGTGAAGAAAAGGTTGAGAAACACTGATATATGATATTCACTCATCAGTGCTGAGATCAGATTGCTGTTCTCAGAAATTCTCACACATTTTCCAAAGTACAGAAGGATATAAAAAAGCCAATATGACACAAAAGACAGGACAGGTGTGGGGATCCTGAAGGTTTATCTTGGAACATCCTAGATGTTAGGATTAAATTAGATCTGATGACAGAAAACTATAGGGAAAATATGGAGTTAACTTTGGTTGGCAATCTTACTTAGCAGACCGTATATGTGCAAATAGCCCATTGCATCAGGCCTCAATTTATGACTTAATGGAGCCTGGAATTTTCAGAGTAAATCATGATGGTCGTAAGTTGAGAGACCTGTGTGTCTTGAATTTATGAGTCTTTTTGCAACAGTCATTAAGCGAATGATTAATGTTTGGCAACTTTGAGCAAATGACTTTAGTTGAATTTCATGAAGGATTTTGCTCCATGGATAAAATAGGTATATGATACCATTGTGACTTAGTTTAAATCCTTAAAAAGAAAACACCTTGTGAGAAATCTTCATGTTCTTCTGCAGAAGATGCTAAAAGGTTTTTCCACACACTGCATTAATATTTTTTCTTTCAGAATAAAATTTTGAGAGAGTTTTACCATGATGGCCATCCTTTTGTAAAGGTATAATAACTCTTCTTTTTCTATATTACTCAGACTGGGAAGGCACTTCAATCGATAACAATTTGTTGGATGCTCTGTTATTGAATACCAAGCGGATTGGTCACGGCTTTGCCCTTGCCAAGCATTCAGAAGTTAGGAGGTTGGCGTTGAAAGGAAATATTGCTGTAGAAGTCTGTCCTATTTCTAATCAGGTATTGTTCAAGAAAAAGAGAGCTGAGCTTTGCTCTAGAATCTTCTGGGATAGGAGATGACTTAATGTATTATTTCCAATCCTTTTATAAACCTCATAGGCTTCCATAGAAAATGAAAAATACTAGGTTTTATTTGGGAATATTCCTGTCAGCCCAGAAAAGAGGAAAGATAAAAGATGTAGATTGAGGAACATTCTAGATGTTAAGATTAAGTTAGATGGGATGACAAAAAACTATAGGGAAAATATGGAGTTAACCCTTACTTAGCAGACAGTCCATGTGCAAATAGCTCAATATATATAGTCTTACACTTATGACCTTAATGCAGGGGTGTAAAACTCAATTTCATTGAGGGCCATATCAGCATTGCGGTTGCCCTCGGGGGACTGGGTGGGTGTGGCCTACTGGGTGGGTGTGGATGGAGTGGGTGTGGCCTGCTGGGTGGGCGTGGCCATCTCCATATCATTCGCGTCAAGAGTGCCTGTGGGGGCCTGGGCAGGAGCGGGACAGATCTGAGGGTCTTTGGCAGAAGAGAGTGGGACCAGGGCAAGCACCAAGGCATGGTCCATTTCTTCATTCCTCACAAAGGGTGACACCTCCCCAGCATGCACTCAGGGGGCGGGGCCGACACGACAGGGGCTGGTTCCTCGCTTTTCTAGACGGCCTTGTGGAGCTAGGACTGAATGTGTTTCAGCATAGATGGCCACCACAAAATTGTACATTGGCTCTCGGCCGGCCTGGGCCAGGACCAAGGCATTGGGGGCTGTTCCCTCACTGTTTCCAGGATGGCTTCGCAGGCCACATGAAACCATTTCACGGGCCGCATCCGGTCCCTGGGACTTGTCTGCCTTAATGGAACCTGGAATTTTCATTGTAAGTCATGATGGCCATGGGTCAAGGCCATGGGTCTTGGGTCAAGGCGTGACCTGACCCAAATTTATGACTTTTTTGTGGCAGTCATTAAGCCAGAATAAAAGAGTATAAAGAATAAGAGGCCAAAAACCAGTACAAATGTTGTAAACAGTGGTCACATGACTGCAGGAACACTAAAAATTAGCCGGTTGCCAAGCACCTGAAATTCCAAATCATGTGACCAGAAGGGGTTTGTGCAGCCACCAGAATTCCAGAACTGGGTTATAAGTAACTTTTGGGAGAATCCATCATAACTTCAAACGGTTGCTAAGTGAGGGATACACCAAGAAAGTTATTAAGAGACAAATAATTATAGGCTAAAAGGAAATTGTATTCTTAGATGGAAACATTATATCTCTGTCTACATGGTGAAATACAAAAATGGGAAGAATAAACATTAGTCTTTCTGAAACAAGCAGGCTAAAGATTAGAGTCCTGTATCAGTTTTTCAATCATGGAAGAGCAGGTTAGAGTTAGAAACAAAATACCACCTTTTCCATGCTGTCTAGCACTCAGTAGGATAAAAGATGCAAAGAGAGGAAGTCATTGAGGGCAGCTGGATTTGCTTAACAATAATTCATTTTAACAACTACAGTGATTTGCCAAACCACCATGGCAAAAAAGGTCATAAAGTTGGACATGACTCCGTTAAAAGCCGCCTTGCTTAGCAATGGAAATTCTGGTCCCAATTGCCATAAGTCAAAGACTACCTGTAGAGGAAACGACAAATGAGAAGAAGAGAAAGAAAAGAATCTTGAGGGGAAAAAAGTCCAGAAGGTGTAAAATATTTATTTAAGATCTGTTGATTCAACTGCAGTTGATTCCTGAATACTGTTTAAGTTTCTGGAGAGATGTTTACTGCTCTCTTACTACTGGTTGAATAACCTCAACCGTTTAGAAAAGTAGGTATTTTGTTGCTCACCATATCCAAATAGTAGCTCTTTTGTGCATAGACAAGCCCTCCTTGTGACAGTGATTTTGTGACTCCCAGAATTCCTGAGCCAGCCATGCTGAGGGGAAAGGGAGAGGTTTCCAAGCTGAGCCATGCTGGCTCAGGACTTCTGGGAGTTGAAGTCCATGAGTCATAAAAGAGCCAAGGTTGCCTACCCCTGATCTAGATAAGTTCTCAGAATTCTGAATGTCCCCTAGGACCAATGGGCTCACAACCATATGCAGATTTAACTAAAATAACTCTTGGCTTATGTGTTCTTCTTCAAGGTCCTGAAGCTAGTATCAGATCTGAGAAACCATCCTGCTGCTTTTCTGTTGTCAGAGGGTCATCAGATAGTGGTTGCCTCTGATGATCCGTCCATTTTTGGAGCAAAGGGATTATCCTATGACTTCTATGAGATGTTTATGGGCATAGGAGGGATGAGTGCCGATCTGAGAACTCTGAAGCAACTGGTGCTAAACTCTTTAAAGTAAGTGCATCTCTTTTGTATGCTGACATTTATGGACCCAAAAATCCCATGTATGTACAAACCTTTGTCCAAACAGGGCAATAAATAGGGACAACGTTTAGAGCCAGATGAACTTTTCATACATATCACCACTCTAGTTTATATCAGCATTGAATTAAGAGTCAACAAAATTTGGATAGGAAGCCCAAATATGAAACTATATCTACCCTGCCATAATAGGATTTTTTTTGTATAAAAAATGAAAATACACAGTTTGCTGACCCAAAAGATTTAGGTACTTGGGATGGAACTAGGTGGAGTCTTCTTCTTCACAACTATACAGGCTATAAAAACACTTTACAAGAACTACAAATTCTCCCCTTTGTTGTTTATTGTGCCCATCACCTTCTTCCTAGAGTGCCAGTCCTATTAAAAGTCCTACTAAATTCAGTAAGATGTATTTTTTTATTAGATCTGCCAAAGCATAATGGTGCATATTTTCTCCTTCTCTGTTTCTCTCCTGCTGATACTATCTCTGCTTCTGCTCCTCACTCCCTGAACTTCCAAACCAATACTTAAGTAAAGATTGGGAATGAATGGGCCATTGCTCTCTATTCTTCCTAGATTCTATTGACCTAAAGGTTGTGCAAATCCTCAACGTGCCAACCTTTTGTCTTGAAGGGATTTTTTAACCTTCTGTGGCCTCCATCTGGCACTCATCCATTCAGCAAAAACAGTGGAATGGATGGACTCAAGCAAGGCCATCTAAAGCAGTGGTTCTCAACCTTTCTAATGCCGCGACCCCATAATACAGTTCCCCATGTTGTGGTGACCCCCAACCACTTATACATCACCAGGGGCGTGGCCAAAGGGGATGCCAGGGGCGTGGCCAAAGAAAAGGGGGGAAAAATGGCGGACAGCCTTATTTGGCGACCCCCTTGAAATGGTCGTTCGACCCCAAATGGGGTCCCGACCCACAGGTTGAGAACCACTGATCTAAAGGATCTTAGATCAATTCCTGAAAGCTGCTGGACGTTAGCCTCAAGCCCAGCATCAGAATGAAAGAAAACGAATATACGTGTCACACGATAATGTTGCTGGATCCAATCTGGGTCGGTCACCAGGACCAAAGGTTTAGCCTTCCAAGCTTTTGGACTCGTGCTCAGAGAACTTCTCTCTAGCAGACACTAGACACTCTGCTAGAGAGAAGTTCCCTGAGGATGGGCTCCAGCACAAGTCTGAAAACTCAGGACTAAACCCTTGATCCCGGTGACCGACCCAGATTGGATCCTGCACCAGCATCAGAAACCTGATCCACTCCTATAGACAGTAGTACAACAGTGACACAAGCGTTTTCTCCTCTTACTCTGAGCTTGAGGCTGGGGTCGTAACAACTACTATATTAAGAACTTTTGCTGAGCTACAAAAATATCCACAGTCTTTAGTCGGGCACAAAATAGTGGCATTTGTTGTCCCATTACCTATCCCTGTCCTGCTTCTTTATCCTTTTCTCAGTTCTAAAAGACACCTGATTTCCCTCCAAAGGTTATGGGTAATGGATTCTATCAGATTTGACCCACTCAGCAAGCAATGGAATCAGGGGAGAAATTTATTTTAAGTGGTACAGTTAAGGATGACTTCAGCCTTCCTTACTCACATGAGTGGGCAAGAATATGAGGCAAAAAAAGATATTGCTGGCCATGTTGGCATCACCATTAAGTGCAAATGAGAATTGGCTTCAGTGTGCTTAGTTGGAAAGCAAGCCATAGTCCATTTATTCAGTATCTCCTGAGTACAAATGTGTTGAGTTTTAAGAGTATGATTTGGGGGGGGGGGTGAGAGGGAGGAGGGCTGCTTGCATTCGTTTCTTAAAGAGTATCTTGCTATCTTTGAGTCTTTTCCCTTCATAGATACAGTAGTATGCAACCCGCTGAGAAGATAAAGGCCATGAACATTTGGCAAAAAAAATGGGACCACTTCATTGCCAATTCTGCAGCTTCGCCCCAGGTAGCTGTTGGGAAATAGTAGAGATTCTATACAAAATCTTGCTTCTCCCAGGTAATTTGATCAGATCATTGCTCACTTAACAATCTAGCAAAAATAATTGAAATCAGAACATACTCCATAAAGGTGGAATTATTGTATTGAGATTGAATCGAAGTAGTGACCCTTTCCCCTCTAATAGTGGAAATTCTTCTGAGTTTGGGTTATATTGGTAATTATTGTTGTATAATTGTGGGTAAATAAGAGGAAGGAGTAGGAAAATTGACTATGAGACTGAAAGAAAAAGAAGAAGCAGAATATTATCAAACTTGGGACTTATTTTATCGGTGGCTCGAGGAAAGAATAAAGGATTAGGAATTAAATATGTATTAGCAAATGTAAACTCAGACAGCAGGTTGGTTGAAAAATTATTTTTGTATGTATGGAAAAAAATTAATAAAGCCTTTTAAAACAAAAAAAGAGGAAAGAGTATAAAGTACAGGTAGTCCTCGACTTATAACCATTCCTTTAGTGACAGTTCAAAGTTACAACAGGGGTCTTGGTGCTCTCTGAGCTTGTTTTCTTGCAGACATTTCATTAACTCTAGCATTGATGATGTTACCTAGTTAGAGTAATGAAATGTCTGCAAGAAAACAAACAAGCTCAGAGAGCACCAAGGACCCTCATTTCAACCCTGAGCAGCAAATATTCTCCTTCATTGATACCACATATGGGTATCAAATGCTTCAGACAGCACGCAAATGGGAAAAAAATTCCTGCAGGCACACTTCCACCAAAGAACAACTTTTCTTCCTGCATATGCTCTACCTACCAGTGTCAGGTACAAGCCTCCAATCAACTGCCCAGTTGGATGGAAAATAGCCCCAGAAAGGGAGCGATAAAAAAAGACTAGCACTGATGACGTTACCTAGTTAGGGTAATGAAATATCTGCAAGAAAACCAGCAAGCTCAGAGAGCTCCAAGGCCACAAATATTCTCCTTCAAAGTTACAGCAGCACTGAAAAATGTGACTTAACAACCAGTGCTCACACTTAACAACCAACATAACATCTCCACAGTCACAATTTGGTTGCTTGGCATCCAATATGTATTTACTGTGGTTGCAACTTAACCCGGGGTCATGTCATCACCATTTGGGACTTTCCCAACTGGCTATTGGCAAAGAAAGTCAATGAGAAAAAGCAGGATTTGCTTAAAGATTGCATCATTCATTTAACAACCATGACAAAAGGGTTGTATTATTAGGCATGGCTCCCTTAAAAGCCACCATCCTTAACAACAGACATTCTGGTTTCAATTGTGGCCATACGTCAAGGACTACCTGTGCAGTATTTTTACAGCTTTGAATTGACCATTTATCTTTTTAAACTTATGAAGGATTAAAAATCTAATAATAATAATGAATGTTATTATATTAGCTATATGTTGCTCAGAGTGGTTCATGATGGGAGCCGCCCATAAGCCCAGTAAAATAAATAAAAGAATAGAGGAAGGATCAATCGCTTATAGATATTTAACACAGATTAATATACTTGGCTCCAATTGTAACAATTGCTCATTACTACTTTTGTTTATCAAACATGTATTACAGGTATACGAACTATCAGAAGAGAAACAATTACTTGAATTTTGGGGCTAGAAAAATACAGAAATACAATGAAATGCTTACACGTATGCTTCTTTTTAAAAGCTAGTGTTTAAAATATATGCAGCCTAGTTTTACAGCATAGAAAAGGTAAGAACCTTGCTGACTTTCAAACAACCAGTGATAAGGGATGTTTGCAGTTTAGTTCAGAAATATCTGAACGGCCACATATCTCCCCACAATTATACAGGTGTAATAATATTTATTGAATGTATCTATTTCATTTTATACATAAGCCAGGTGGTTTACAAAAGTTTAATGAAGTGCAGTGTAGTAATACTATAGATTAGAAACTTATATTAGAGTTGAAAATGGATTATATTTCAGTTTTTTTTCCCTTAGCAGTAATACAAAAAAAAAATTAAATGTTTTTTAATTTATTTAATTAATATCCTCTTCAATTCATTTGAATTATATTTAACTAATCAGATTTGATTTCACTATAAAGACATAAATAAAGCACATTTTTTTCTGGAGGAAAAAATATTGTTAAATAGTAATAGCAGAATGAGGCATTCTTTTTTATATGTATCAGAGATCAATGCTATTCATTGTACACAAAGCTACCTTCATTATATATATGTAATGTTAAAATGCTGATAATCAGTTATGAATACATTAATCATGTAATGGAGCATATTTGAATTTTACTCTAATAAATAACTTCTATCATATACTGTGCTGAAATTAATTTTCTCCATGCAAGCAATAAAAAATTGAATTTTCAAAACAAACTGAATCATAAACTAATGTTTTCTGGATTTGCATAATTTTATACAAAAACTAGGAATTTACAATTTAGATTAATTAGTATGCTGTGCAAATCCAGCTTTTATATCTTTCCTATTATAAACAGGTTAAGCCATGAGTTGTACAATAATGGTTTATTAAATAGATAATCTTTCATTAACAGAACATGGTAAACAATAAACATGATTTCACCTCCCCCAATTCTTAAATTTTGCCAAGAACAGCCCAAAACCCAAGATTTTAGTATTAGTTCAAATCATGTAATTACAAGTTTTTGCTTCTTTATTATTACAAAATTACACCTGTGAATCATGTTTCAGTCTGAAAATTTAACGTGTCAGAATATATTTTTGATGAGGCCTCCCTGAAAACAGCAATCCAGTATGTGTCATAGTGATGACTGTGATGTGCAGTGATTATTACACATACAATCCCTCTTTCAAAACATTGTTTATTAGAACCAATCACAGTCTAGTATGCAAATAAGCTAGATAGGTCAGGAAAAGGAACAACTAATTCATATCTTAAGGTAGCATGGAAGAGAAAACTGAATTAGACCAAAAGGTAAGTTGGTGTCATAGTTTTCACTATAAGTAAGGAAAGGAGTTGGAATTGTAGGCAAAAAATGGCTGAAAATAAGAATGAGTCAATTAGATAAACCATAGTAAGATCATTTTCAGATGCTTTTTAGATCTGAGCAGCTTTTAGTCCCAACCTCCTTGCTGTTCTTATACCCCCAATTTCCTTGATCATTACCTATGATGGTTGTAATTGATGAAAATTGCAAATGCAATAATTTCATATTTTGATTGAGGTTACAAAGGTCTTAAATTATGATCTAATAATTCATAAGCAATATATGCTCATGTTCCTTAGGATAAGAAATATTCATTATTGTTACTGTCAGCTTTTTCAAAACTTTATCTTAGATAAGAGAAAAAACATTTTGTTAAGGAAACCATTGTCTGATCTAATCCAACATGCTAGCAGAATGTAAGCTTCCTCGGGATCAATTATATCCTGAGGTCCTCTGCTGATTTATACCATAACTGCTAAAAATAAGATTTCAGAACAGTGTGCTACTCTTGGAACGCCAAAGCTTCTTCAAAAGCTGCCATCAAGTTGTAATCTACCAATTGAGAGAAGATAAATACTTGTACAGGTAATCCTCAATTTATGACCGTTACGTTCAGTGACTGTTTGAAGTTACGGTGATGCTGAATGAAGGGATTCATGACCAGTCTCCAAAGTTATGGACATTGCAGTGTCCTCATGATCAAAATGGCAGCCCACCCTCATCCCTGTGAGGCACTTCAACTCCCCCTACCCACCTATTTTCCCCACCTCTCTGCCCTTTTGCCCCCTTACATTCCATGGTTCCTGTCAACCCAGCTGACCTTCGCCATCTTCTTGCTTCACTGCTGACCAAGCAGTCTGGCCTGGCCTTTGAAGGCCATTGCTGGCTGCACGAGTCTTTCTTCCTCAGGTGCACAGTGGTTTCTTTGTGAGGCCTGAGGAAAATGGCCTCACATGGCCAGCAATTGTCTCACCAACAGCTAAGATGGGCCAGTCTTAGCAGTAGTGGGAGCAAGGATACGGCAAAGGTCAGCTGAGGTGGTGGCGTGCAAAGCAGTAGGGATGTCAAAGTGAGGGGGCAGTGAGGGGGGCTGGGATGATTGGGGCTTTCTGTAATGTCAGCTTCACACTGCACTTCTGGGGGTTCCCAGGGCCGCTGACCTTTATGGGCTGGCTGCTGGCTTTGTGCTGTTGGGCTTTGCTCTGTAAAGGGCTTTGCACTGGGCAGAGTTTTGTGCTGTGCTGCAGCTCATGGGCTTGTTGGAGACACAGAAAAGCAATATGCAAGAAGTCCCCCCAAGCAACAATGTGGCAAGCAGGACCACAGCCACAAGGTTCTGGAGCTGCTTGTCATCCCACAAGGCAGGGTACAATGTGGCCAAAAAGCAGAGATGGAGGAGAGATGGGGGATGGGGGGGAGTTGAAGATTAGGCAGTCCCTTACCTTATGGCTTGGGCCGGTGAGGAACCAAACCTGAAATGACTTGGAATGGGGTGGGTACTTGCTTAATGACCCACAATTGTTAATTAATGACGGCAATGGGGAGGAGCACTGTTGGTAAGTGCTGCGGTCACATGACATCACACTTTACAACTGTGTTGTTTAGTGACAAATTCCAGCCCCAGTTGTGGACGTAAGTCAAAGATTACATGTACACAAGAAGAGAGAAGTGTCATAAACACTAATTGTGGGGCCCCGATCTGAAAAATAAAATATAAATCTCACTTTGCATGTTTGTTGTTACAGTCACAAAGCAAACAGCCACTCCTTTATCCTGTTTTTATTGGGGGAAATCTACTCTGCGAATGTAAAAATCGCAAGTGATTGTTTGAAATTACTGTCCGATCCAGGGAAGATGTGTATCCTTTAGATTTTGGTAGCAATATTTTGTGTTCTCTCCTAGTTAAGATGCTTTAGTTTTGTGCTTTATTGCTCTTTCTGCCTCTTCAAGATGCTTTATCCCTAATTTTAGAGCCCAGCAGGCTGAATGGCCATATCATCAAGGGCCCTGCAGTGTTTTGCCAACTATATTGTGTTAACTCACTCTACCGCGAGAGTAGAGATCGCTTGACTGCATATCTTCTTGACTATGTTTTCAAAATTGATACCTTGCAGCTTATTTTGATAATAAATAAATGCAGTCTCCTTTCCCCACTATTACAAGTAGCTTGTTCTGCGGCCTGATTTCAGGGTGAATATGATTTGTGCGAGCTCCTTCAAATGAAATCCTCCTGTAGAGGATAATGTTCCTTTGCTGAATGGCTTTGACCTCCATTACTAAGAAAGTTGAACTCTATATTAACCATGTGAAGAAATGGGAATGAAATTGGTCTGACCCTGAAAGTACAAAAGTGTCTAGTATTCCTTGGAACATCAAAGAAATCCTTCCAGAATATTTTGAGATAATCCAAGGAGAGTTACCCCATGCCAATTTCATTTTTTTTATATTGATATGATCCATAGGCAGTAAATGCTTGAGGCAGTGTGTGCTGAATGGATTGATTTTATAGGAAGGAAGTATGTATGTGGAACTCATACCAAGAATCGATTAAATTTGTATAGCTTAGTTTGAAGGCCTGGAATTATGGAAGCATTGATAAAAGGTTTCTTTTCCTGCTAGAGTTGACAAAAAAGGGAGTTGGAAAATATGTGGAATAAAAACAGTAAATAAAAAATCCATGTCGTTAAAAAATAGAATACTGGAAAAGAATCCTAATTTACTCTGTAAACCATTGTTTTTCAACCTTGGCAATTTTAACAGAATTCTGAGAAAATTCACACACTGCTGAAGACTTTTATTCTTCATCTATATAACATTTAAAATTGGCAGTGCTTTCGATAGGAAATTATTCTATGGGGTTTCTATAACTTTATAAACACCATTCAATTAAATATTTATAATTCAATATGTGTGTCGGTCAAAGATATACACTTGGATTTAAAAGGCAAAAGTATAATGCAAGCATGTATATGTTAAATCCCATTACTTTCAGCGGTTTATTATGCCACACACACACACAGAGTGAAGCGCACCAAATTGAGAAGGATTTTCATCTGAGTAAGCAGATGCAAAATGGTGCTTCAAAGCATTTTATTCACTAAGACGTTGGAAGGGCTTAACTTTGGTTAAATTCTTACAACTAAAATGTGTTAACTCCTTTTGAGTACCTGTTTTGCAAGTAACATACAATATTTATTGTAAAATGAATATTTATATAACTTTAATTTAAAATTAACAAAATTTTCTGATTAAGTTGTAAATTTGCTACTAGCATTTCCATTTTCCACAGAAATATCATTAGTTTTCAATAATATCAGTTGTTCCCATTCGGCATTCACTATTTTTTTCTTTAACTCTATATATGTGTTCCTAAGAGCTGACACCAAGTTAATAGCACATAATCAATTTACTATAGTTCTTTACATGAAGGAGCAAAGATTTATTCATGAGACTGATCCCTACTAGCTTCCAAAAACACTTGGCCAACAGCAAAGTACTAATTTATATTGTACTGTACTGTACTCTAGGCACCTAAAACTAGGTTAAAACTGACAATTTAAAAATGTCCTCAAAACAACACAAAAAATATAAGCCATTTGAGTTTAATCTCAATCAATTCAATTTATATATTCTAGTCTAGAGCAGACATGTCAAACTCATGACATCACATTATGTCGCACAACGTATTGGGATAGTTTTGCCCCTGGTCTAGAGCAGCGGTTCTCAACCTATGGGTCGCGACCCCATTTGGGGTCGATCGACCATTTCACGGGGGTCGCCAAGCAAGGCTGTCCACCATTTTTTCCCCTTTTCCAGCGGCTGCCTTACCTTCCTTGGGCTGGGCCAGCTGGTAGCCCAGCCGGTGGTCGGCCTGCTCCGTCTCTGCCGCTTGCCAGCTACGCCTTGGCCAGCGCAGGGGGCGGCACCATGCATGCGCAGTGCTCCCGGGCAGGGAAAATCCTCGACTTACGATTGGTTGGGTAGTCCTTGACTTACGACTGGTTTAGTCCTCGACTTACGGCCGGTTTAGTCCTCGACTTACGATCAGTTGGGGGTCGCGGCATTAAAAAGGTTGAGAACCCCTGGTCTAGAGCAAACTTTTTCAACCTTTTCAGCCCAGAGGGACCCTTAAAACATTTTTGCAGGTCTTGGGGAACCCCTGAACATTCCAGCTCAAATATAAGACAGAAGTTACAAAATTATTGCATTTCATGTGTTGTCCTCTACATGTGTTAACAGTTAAACTAAAAATAAAGAATAAAACGTCTTTCCCCTGCCTCCTTCCTCCATCCTTACCTGCTTTGTGGATTGATTCTGCTTCTACTTAGAGCCTCCTGGGCTGCTGCA